AGGCTTATAGCGTGGTTTTATGACACAAAATTCTGGATAAAGTCGATATGAAACCAACTTTCTGCAGCAGACTATGTGAGTACTAATGTACAGCAACACGGAGGGAGTTGGATCATTGACTATTGCAAAACATGCCACAATTTTGACCAGTGCATGAGGCTGAGGGAAATTTCTGTTTTCCCAACAAATCGTATCATATGAAGACGCCATGGGTATTCATAGATGTCACGATTCAAGATTGCAACGTTAGTGATTGGGCTAGACCATCAAGCATAACGTTCAGATATTGCGTGTGGTGCGTCTGCCCAGGTGAGCAAATGCCGTCCCAGAGGTTTGGCTTATGCAAGTAAAGGCCGTTTTCCCTTGTCGCATATGAGTTTTTTTCACTGCGTCATTGCTGTGCTTATCTGATAGCAGTACAATATAGCAAGTACAGACGGGAATGGATGCGCGTCTGGTCCCATTGACTCGAAGCCTTCACATCCCGAAACTGTTCTCTAAAATTCTATCCAATTTCGACAATACTTTTTGGGTGGGTGTATCTTACTATTCTATATATGTATCATCAATCTAGGCGTTGTGGTATTTCACATAGCCCAAGGAGTTGTGTTGACTTCGCTGACTTACAATGAAGGAGTATGGGTCAGCACTGGATGCAAGGACTGTTTGACAAACACCTCGAGATCAAACCGTCCTTGGTAGCCGCCGTACAGTACTGAACAAGCGCTGTTATTATCGCCGACTATACCGAAGTACGCGAGGCTATCAGTGAGATACTTTTTAGATTGCGTTCCAAGGAGATGTCTATCAAGGATTGAAGCCTAAGCCAACAGGTCATTTTTGCAGATCAACGCAACCACCACGAACCTTTCCCCCGCAAAGTTGCTCCCAAATTAAATCAGGTTCAATTGTGTGGAGATTATCACTATCACACGTAAGTAGGGCACTTTCGCATTAGGTGATGCAAATCTCTGTAGTATTAGTACAAAGCCCTGATTGAGTTACAAAGAGAGTTATGTGCGCCCGTGATAAAATGGGCGCTCAGCTCCAGACAACGCTGCGCGCATTGTCTCATGCCCGCCCATTGTGTCTCAGTGTTGAATCTCGATACCCAACACGTGGAGCATGTGTGACCTCGCATGCTGTGAACCCAGAGGCATGCCGTCATTGGTGGCTTCATCTCATCATAGTAATATCTTTCGCCTCGTGGTTTCTTTTTCCTGGGAGCTCGGGATGGCACCGTGTCCAGTTGTCCGCATGGACAGCTGGCTCAAATGCTCGTTCATTCTGACGAAACCTCTCCCGCCTACTCGCCACGCAATCCCACAACGGACATGCCGACTTGGTAGACATAAGGCCCACGGATAATTCCAGTCCTCATAGATGAAAACCACTCTCCTCCGACCAAAAGCCGGTACTCGATTGACTTGCCCCTTATCTTTTTGCTTGTCACCTAGGAGAGAAGAAGGTGTTTCTTATCAGCAGCCATGGGATACGCATGCCAGTTCAGAAAAGTTGTCCTCTCCAGGACAAGGTCAGAAGACGACTTGGCAATCGTCGCACGGCTGCTGGATGCCTCCAAAGATTCGGATTACTTTGCATACGAGCGCGAAAACAAGTGGCATCTCGGCATTGGCAGTCGGGCTTCGCTATTTGTCGACTCCACAGGTACCTCTGTGACGACAATGACAAATGAATCCATTTCCGAGCCCGTGACAGAGAGCATTGCCACCATGGCAAGGCACTTTGTTGCCAAATATTCGTCGAATGGAGGCCGGGTATTCGGCCAGGCGGGCTTCAACTACGCCGCATTCACACGCGGGCTGGCCTTTACGCCTGGAAAATGGCCGCTCCTCAGTCTCATGGTTCCCAGCGTGGAAGTCACCATTTCAACCGACTGCGTCGCCGTCTCTGGAGACGATGCGGAGCGAATCGAACACGCGGTGAAGCTCATTGCGGGGGGACCGGGTGCGCCGCAAGCACAGAGGCAGATGGAGGTTGATCTTGACTCTGCCAGAGACGAGTACATGGATCGCGTACGAAGGGGCATCTCCGAGATCAAAGCCGGCAGCTACAAGAAGGTCATTCTGTCCCGCGCCATCGATCTCGGCGAGGAGGTCGACATGGTTGGAACGCTCGTCAGGGGCCGGCGGCGCAACACCCCCAAGCGCAGCTTCTCGATCAATCACGCCGGGTTCCAGGCCACGGGGTTCAGTCCCGAGCTCGTCATGGCCCTGCAAGACGGCAAGGTCGTCACCGAGCCGCTGGCCGGTACGCGGGCACACACGGGCTCCGCCGCCGAACGCAAGGCGCTCAAGCGAAACCTCGAAAGCGACGCCAAGGAAATCGTCGAGCATGTCATCTCTGTCAAGGAGGCGATAGAGGAAGTGCGCCGCTTTAGCACCGAGGGTTCGACCGTGGTGGAAGACTTTATGACGACGCGTGTGCGCGGACATGTGCAGCACCTGGGCTCACGGGTCACGGGGTGTTTGGAACAGGGCCAGGACGGCTGGGATGCGTTCGACGTGCTCTTCCCGTCCATCACGGCCTCGGGCATTCCCAAGCAGGACTCGCTTGACGCTATTGAGCGGCTGGAAACCCGGCCCAGGGAGCTGTACTCGGGGGCCATCTTGATGATTGACGATGCGGGCTTATTTGAGGCAAGTTTGGTCTTGCGGGCCGTGTTTCAGAATGGCGGTCAGCGATGGGTGCAGGCCGGCGCGGGTGTCATTGAGATGTCGACGCCGGAGAGGGAGCTGTTGGAGACGTGTGAAAAACTCGCCACCATCGCGCCGTTTTTGGTTGCGGCCGAGACGGTAACACCTGAGGGTGGTTGTGATGGAAAAGAGTGAGCATTGCTAGATTTTCTCGTACACTACCCCTTTTCCGGGTTGGATTTTGCAAATCGACATCTCACATTGGCATGGTTTCATATACATTATGTCTTGGCAAATTACAGGAGGAAAGACGCTGTACTTGGTCATTTGTTGCAGCCAGAATAGAATGTTTGTCGTCTTTGTGATGTCAATCGGAGTAGAGAACAAATTTCCTCGCCCCAATAAGCCAAACTGCGGGGCAAAGTGACTGGCTGTGCTTGACGCAGTCTAGTTAGTCAATTGGTCGCGTGCTGCCAAGTGTGACATGCACCTGTCGACGGTGTCACAAGTCTAGGGGGTCAACGGTCAATAGTACCGAGTATGCAAGTACGTACTAACACACAATTTGAAAGTCAATATTGATACGACGTCAAGGCCACGCCCATTTTTTGGTGCGACAACCTGAAGGTCACGTAACCCAACCCCGCCCAGTCACCCCAGCCTCAACACCAACAGACAGCTCATTGTAACCCAAACCATCTTGGTGCCCGCTTGAGAAACTGTCGCGCTCTAGGAAGCTTAAAAAAACCCTCCTGCGCCTCAAGTCCAAAATAATCTGCAGAAATGCCGGCCACAGATGCTCTCCGTGAGTCTTATGTTCTCAATCCCTCCTCACCTCCACCCTGCAATCACGACACCATAGCTAATTTTCGGGTTTAGAGCCCCCCCTAACCAAGGCGGAGCGTCAAATTTGCAAAGAATACGGCGGCTGGACCAATTTTATGCAGTCCATGGGGCTTAAGCCGTGGGATTCCGATGACGCGGAAGAGGGCAAGGCTATCCTAGCCGCATTTGCGATGAGAGACAAAGAAGAAGAGGATAAAGCTGCCAACAACAAAACCAATTCCAGTAGCGGCTCTAAAAGTGGCTAAGAAGGGAATTTCCATATACCGAGTGGCAAGAATCAGGTGACACCGAATTTCTTGACTCACCTATTTGGCCTGTACGGTTTTGTCTCAAATCGCATCCTGCCAGTACAATGGGCAGCACTAAGCCTTGTACTGGCCACGCTTACTTACGGACTATATAATTTATGGAAACGTGTAAAGTCGACGTCTTTGCAGTTTTACAATAAAAATGTGCCACTTGCACAGAGGATCATGCCCCTTCCGGCCGGAAACTAGCCACGCTGAATTCCTTGCCGCTAACAGCACATTCACCTTGGGGCATAGTCCGACTATTTGTCCATCCTGTGAAGAAGACTACTGCTTGTGAAATGGCGTCCGAAAATGATGGCGAACCGACCCGCAAGTTTTCGGATCAGAAGGGAGGGAGCTTCAACATTTGTTTCTTCGGCTGCTTTGATGTGGATGCTGCATGGGAATTATTTTTGACCATTTACAGGCTTGTAGAACAAGTCATGACTCTACTTCAAATGGCCAAGGCCGTACTACATATCTCAGGAGGCAAGGCCTACTCAATGATGATCAGCCACGACAAATCCGAGAAGTCCTCGAAAGAACGAAGCATTCAGCGTGAAAAGACTTTACAGCGTGTAGTAAGCAGCACCAACTGTATCGAAGGCAACTATTTTGATGACCTTGAGTATTCACCCTCGCTCTTGCTCCTGTAACTCTGCCAGCTTGTTCCAGGGTGACAATATGCATTGGGAAGGCTTGATATTAATGCTGTTGTTCTATAGAGTAGGGGTACGTTGTGCCTTGAATACACAAACTGTCTGGCCAATGACGATTGCGTCTTAAAATAGCACTTTCCAGATCTGGCAGGTACAACATGGTCCAGACGATCAATCGTCGCATCCTTGTTCCTGTCGGCACAATCGGCAACTACCTCATTGATGCGACGAATCAACTGTTCGTCTCCTGCATATTTGAACAACGAGAATCTGCGGTCGATGGCCGAGTCTGTTGTCCCATTTGACTGCGGCTGCCACTTGGCAATACCAAATTGCCAAGTGGGCAAGATTAATACCCGATGACAACTGGCTATGTTATAAGAATAAACGAAGCTTATGAGTCTAATAGTACACTGCCCCTCCATCAGAGGCATCGAGGCACTCCGACTGGCGTCATGCTGCTTCTCACATTGTGCTTTTTTGCAATCAGTGTCTACGTCTCTTAAACAGGGGCGAAGCCGTACAGTCTGGCAGCTCACCATGATTTTATGAAAAATAGCTGCAATGCTAGGGACCAAGGATACGGCAACAACTCGTCACAACGACAAAATTTGGTCGGCGTTGGTTCAAAGAAGGACGTCAAGGTTGAAGCCAAACAAGGCAAGGGAAACTTTGTCCTTACTGGCACCACTGGCGCTGTAAGCCACCCCAATGCCAAGCTTGTCTATCTTCGCAAGAAGGATGGTAGACTGGCCCTCACCTGGGGCGTGGAAACCGACGTTCCTGATAACTGGCTTCTGAGCTACGTCGACGCGTATCACTCAGACATGATTCACAATGTCGCTGATTACGTTTCTGATCTCGCAACCTACCAAGTCTACCTCTGGACCGTCAATGATCCCACCGAGGGTGCCAGAACCTCCTTGAATGACCCCTGGAAATACGGCCGCTTCGCCATTCATATGGTTGAGTCACGGCCAGAACAACTACACCACCACTCGTGACAACAATGCCATTGCCCAGGATAACCCTACAGGCGGCGACGACAATGAGAGCAACTACCGACCTGACAGCCCCAGCGACACCTTTGTGTATCCTTACGATCCGTCACAGAGCGACCCGACAAGCTACGTGGGCGCATCCATCACACAGCTCTTCTTCACGGCCAACAAGTACCACGACCTGCTCTACGTGCTGGGCTTCGACGAAAAGGGAGGCAACGTCCAAGGCAACAATAACGGCAAGGGTGAGAAAGGCAATGATGCCGTAGTACTATTCTCGCAAGACGGCTTTGGCACGAACAATGTCAACGTCGTTGTGCACGAGAACACCCACGGCCGTAAGCAAACAATTCCCATCACCGTCTTCACTCTCAACCTTTATACCTGACCAAAGTAAAAGTATCTACTCACCTAACCGGCAGGTCCAGCAGCTCCGGCTGTCTTAATGGCCTCAAATCGGGCGGCATGGGCGAGGGATGGTCCGACTTCATGGCCACGACGAGCTCTGGAGGGCCTTTGCCAAGCGTTGGCTCGGTCAGAATGCCCAGTACGACGAGCAGAATCGCACCGAGGACTTTACTGTGCCCAGTGGTGTCCGCCAGTCTTGAGCCACCGGGGAACTCGCTTGGTTGACCTTCCGGAGTAGTATGGTGAAAGCAAGGCAATGAGGAAATGGTGCCGACTTTGCCGCTGGGGCCTTTGTCGGGATGGATTGTTATATAACGTATAGTTGTGTTGTATTTAGTTTCCGATTCTCTGCGCAAATATTTCAAGATGGTATATATTGAACACTATACGATTCGGCAATTGTACAAAAGACCTTATTCTACGAGAAACATGCACCACGCGCTGTAAGCAGTCCGTATTCTGGTTTATCAAGGACTCAATATTCCCAACTCATCTCATGCTCCTTGGTGTCAAAATACTCCCCGCACGTTGGGTTGGCATCTTATATCGAGTCGCGAAAAATCCACAAGTGGTAGCCAACGGCTGTTGATGTCATGGTGATGACAAGATGACAAGTCCAGCATTGCAAGCCTACCGGGATCTGGCATCTTTCTGGATCATTGAATGACGACTTTCCCATGGCCAGAGTCAAGATCAAACTCCACGAACTCCCAGCAAAGCCAGGCAACTGGACGATATTGCAAATCATAAAATACAATATATCAAAGTGCCTTTGCGCGCCTCAAAATCAGCCCGTAGTGCTCGGGGTCGCGGACGCTGATGTGGCCCGAGATGCCCTCTGTGAATCCTACGCGCGCCCAGTTGCGGAACACGGCCGCCATGTAGGAACGACAAATGTGCTTCCGGTGCTCGTGGGACGACGGGAACTTGGGAATTCCCGAGATGCACTCAGCCTATCTGAAGGCAAGGGGGGAGAAAAAAGAGGAGAGCTCGTCGTACCCTTGAGCTGGTTCGGTCCACGGCCAAGACTATCAGCCTCAGCCTCCACCTCCATCTCGGCGTCTTCGTCTGCCCTCGTGTCCATCGTGACGATACTCGTCTGGGACAGACTCTCGGCAGCAGTGCCCATAATGGTGGTAGGCGGCGCCATTTCCAACCCCGTGTTTTCCAATATTCGCCCTTGAAAATTTTCAAATCATACATTGTGAACCGGGCAGGAGCAAATAGATAATGCAAGCTCTCTCTCCTTCTATTCCCACGCACAAAATCGGCTAGCATTCCCCTGCCGCGGCCATGGTCCGGTAGATCAATTCGTCGGCCGAGAGTGGCGGGGGGAGGGTGCCGAACATGTCGTGATGACGAGAGACAAAAACACTATACGTGACTGGTGGGTGATGATGTGGTGAGCATGCACGACCTGCGACAAGCAGACGGTACACGGCGGTGTGATTGTTCATGTACACTGAGCGAGACCAAGTTGAGAGTCGACCCTCATTGTTCTCGTACCTCTTGACGAGGAGTCATCGAGGTCGATTCAATGGCAGAACAAAGCAAAGTATGGCAGGAAAGAAACATATAGTATTACGTACGGAATCTAACAGGGTTCCTACAGAATCATCACTTACGTCTTGTCAGGCTAGCGCCTATAAACATACCAGGTTGAGAAAAAAGATTGTCTTTATTGTCTATACAGGTCCAAAGTCTTACAAGAAATTCCTGCACAGGCACAAAGACACCAACTGTACACCAAGTCCACCTTACCCTGGCATACATCTGTTTTTTTCGCGTCTATCAGAAACGACGACCGTGTGCGCCGAACAACGCGATACACAGCAGTTGCTTCATGTAGATTACTCTCCTTCACACTGTTTTACTCCTCCCAAGATAGAAATATTAAGAAAGAAAAAGAAAAGACAGATCCAAGACTAGGTGTCACAGTGTCATAATAAAAAGTAGTAGAAATTGGGTCACCAGAATAAGAGCTCGAAGAGTAAAACCGCCAAACAGTGCTCTAGATTCCACAAATGGGTGTCCCAAGCACGCCGATGAAGAATCATTTGGTTGTCGAGACAAACACAGGCCTGCCCGTCGCGTAAATGATGGAGAACGTCACAGACCCTGTGATGCTGTGCAAATGAGTCAAAGGCGTATCAAGAACGTCCGTCGCGGAAACATTCATGATAACATTGGTTTTCGTCACGCCCCTCAGAATTGGTATGCATCAATAATCCAACATTAGACATGACCACACTCTAGCCCACATAACAATCCAAGAATGATTTCTCCCGAGAGGGTATCGAAGTTGAAAAATGGCACCAACTGGCATAGATGCGATAGTAATATCAACAAAATTCCGTACGTATATATCCCATCAGTTCCAGCCCAGAGAGTTCTCCGTAGCGACAGGAGCGGAGATATTGGCGGTGCGTCCAGAGTGGCCACCACTGGCGTGTGAATCCCGACCTCCAGTGCCACCATACGTTGAACCATCACGGCTCAAGAGAGCGCCACCCATGAGAGCAGGGCTAGCATTGTCGTTGTACCTCATCTCAGGCGAACCTTGGCCGCTAACGATGGAACTGGCTCGACGGTGGCCCTGTCGCTTGCGCTTGTAACGTCGAGCGACAATGAACATGGCAGCACCGTACAAGGCACAAAAGCCTACAGCCGCAACAGCAATGCCGGCAGTGGTAGCCTTCTGTTTGGGAGTTTGATCGCCCTGGTTACCAGAGCCGAAGGCGTCATTGCTGTTGCCATTGTTGTTGTTGCTGTTGCCGTCGTTGCCGGAGCCGGGACCCCCGTTATCGGTTGAAGAACCATCATTGAGGTCACCAGTGGGAGAAATGGTAGAATCAATGTAGCTTGCAAATTGATGTAGAACTGGGTCGCGATTTTGGTAGATAGCTGAGGAGGGTGTTTTCAGGTTGGCTGCTAGAGCTGGAAGTAGAGCCTTTGTGTAGTTCATCCTGGCAAGAGTGGTGACGAAGCCTCTCGTGGCCAGTGTGTTGTAAGGAGCCAGCTCCGTGACAGGCAACTGGTCAGCGGGAAGCCCGCAAGCACTGGAGAGAACATCTGGCAAGTACTTGAAGATCTGAGAGGCGGCCATGGTATCATTAGCAAGAAAGAGGTAGTGGAGGGTGTAATTGAAGGCGATATGAATAGGAACGGCGCCCTCGAGTACAGGCGGTTTTTTATCACCATCAGTATCAGGTCGAATAACTCTAGGTACGGTGGACGGCAGAGCCTGCAACGAGGTTTCAGTCGGGTTTGAAGTAGGCGATGAGAACGAGAAAGTCGTGGGCTCGATAATAACAGTGGTCGGCAGCCAGTTGTCTGTGCTTGGCAATGTGGCAGTGGGTCGAATGCTCGTCACCTCTACTCCGCTGGTCGTCGATGGTACGACAGTACTTGTAAAATCGGACTTTGTCGTAGGAACAACTGTGTCGATATTGGAAGTAGTCGTCGGGCCCACAATAACGGTTGAGTTGTCATTCGGTACGGAAATTGGCGTGGTCGGCACTGACGTAGCAGTGCCTGTAGGAGGCCCAGAAATGGTACCGTTGGTAATAGGAACATCAGTCGCAGTAGGGGCACTAGTAGGAGCACTAGAGACGGTTCCGGAGCTGGTCGAAGTGCTGTTGCCGATGGGAACGTCCGTTGTGCTTGCAGTTGGGGAGTTCGTGATGATCGAACCAGACGATGACGAAGTGGCAGTTACAGGGACTTCAGTCGAAGTAGCGTTAGGGAGCGATCCAGAACCAGATGTGGTCGTCGTTGAACCTGGAAGAGGAAGCAAAGAAGTCAAGGAAGGCAGAAGACCTGTGGAAGGCTCTGTGGTCGGGGCAGCTTGCGTGGTAGAATTCTGTGGGATGGGCTGCTCAGGAGAGCTCGTGCTTGTGCTCGATATTGAAGTGCCAGTTTGCTCAGGTGAGTTTGTCTTCGTGCTCGCGCTCGAGGAGCCTGGCAAAAGGCTGCTAAGCAGTGTCCCGATAGGATCCAATATGCCACCGCTTGTGGTAGTCGGGGTCGTGTCCGACACGGTATTGTTGCCAACAAGCGTATCAACAGTAGTAGACTTGCTGGCAGGTTCGCCTGTCTTTGTAGGCTTGTCCACGGTAATAGGCGTGGTAGGTTTGGTCTCCGGTGTTGTATTGTTGGTGACAGCTGGATCGACGGATGTTTGCTTAGGTGGCTCGCCCGTTGGAATAGGATCCTTCGCAGTAGCAGGTGTGGGAGGGTTGGTTTCAGGCACAGTGCTGTTGCTGGCAGAGGCGTCGACAGATGTCACCTTGGGAGAGTCGACGGTCGTCTTCTTTGAAGGCTCGACGGTCGTCTTAGGCTCGCTCGTGGACGATACAATCCCCGTAGGACCAATGACAATACCAGGCTCGGTCGAGGGTCTTGCACGCGTGCTTGAACTTGTTTTAGACTCATTGATCTTTGAAGTGGGCAAAACGGTCTCCTTGGGCAACCCAGATCCGGACGAGCCGCCTGGAGTAAGGGTGCTGTCAACAGCAACTGTGGGAACAGGGGGTTTCTCTGTTGTGCTCGACTTTTGTGGTGAATCTGAACCAAGAATCTCGGAGATGAGGTCGCTTAACAAATCCCGCCTGGTCGAAGATGAAGAGGTCGTCGTCGTCGTCGTCGTCGTGACATGAGGCGTGGATGATGAAACCTTACTCGTGATGGTAGAGTTGTGGTACTCTCGCTTGATCTCTCGTGGAAAGTAGATGCGTGGGTGCTCTGGCTGGGCAGCGACGACAGAAGCAGCCAAAGCCACGGCCGAGGCCAAGGCTAGTGATTTGGCATACATGATTGCAAGACGTAGCGGATAATCGACAATTGCTTCGATCAAATGTGCTGGGACAAGTAGTATTTACGTGGAGCAGAAGTGCTGACCCGAATATGAGTGACGAGTTCCGATAGGAGATTTGGTAAGAGTCTGTTACACGAAATGCTTACTGTCAGGAACGGATAGAACGAATGTACTTGACGATAGTGTCAACGAGTGTAATCTAAGATTGTCGTCAGCTACCATTTGATTAACCGTAGGTCATGTCTTGCTTCAGCTCCGGGGTGTTGACATGGCTGGCGGCAGCCATCAATGAGGGCAGGTCGTACAACAGGCCAAGCTAAAGCAGCCATGACATGAAGCTGATTTACATCAAAATTGCGCTCTGCAAGGCCCACTTACGTTTATTTTCGGTTGTAGGGATATGTATATATATATAAATTTGGCGATTAAGCAATAACGATGGACAGTAGCGTAGAAATGAGCGACTAGACGATATTAAATTCGTTCAAACATTCAAAATAACCGAGATCGTTGAGTACGTCCGTGACGGCGTTGGGCGCGAGGGCAAGGGCCTTGGGTGGTGTTGAAGACGACGATCAGTCCTCAACGTGCATTTGCCGCCCTTTGCCGTCGCAGAGTCGAACGGATTCTCGTGGAGAGGAGGTAAAAGGATTGAACGCGCGGCGGCAGCGCAAGGTTGTCGGGGATCGCAAGGGGACGAAGACGACGTCGCCTGGGAGCGCGATTGACGGGTCGGGAGGGCGAGGAGTGAGGTGATAAAAGAAGGAGGGAAAGGAGGGTAGAAGAGGGTGGGTAGGAGGTGAAGCAGCAACGGCTGGGGCAACATTCAATGGGAGGAATGGGAACTGGGGCGGACGGGTAGAGGCGGCCAGGGGCGTGGGCGCTGTGGAATTGTGGACAAGTCAAGGCACGGTGGAATTGAGACTTTGGACTTGGGGACTGGCAACTGGGACGACGGAACCACGGCGAGGACCGACGAAGGCTAAGCAAGGGAGAGCAAGGCAAGGCGGCGGCCAGCAGCCAGCAGCCAAACGCAAAAGCAAACGCAAACGGCCACCGTTCAATGTTTGAACGGTGCAGCGGCCAGTCTCCTACTTAGTACAGCAACACAGACGGTGCTTGGGCGGCAAGGGGGAGCACTTGACCAGTTGCAACACGCCGGATCAGTTCGATCTGAGCATTGAGCACTTGGCGTGGCAGAGCATTGATACATTGGTTCTTGAGATTGATGAGGGAGGAACCGCTGCGGGACTGGCGGGGCTCGCGCCACACTCGCCCACTGGAGCAGTCAACTGCTGAGCCAGCAAGCCCGCAGCCCATTGTGCAACATGGAGTTGGAGCGTAAATTTGCTTCGGTGGAAGTGACATGAAGGAACCCTCTTCCCCTCTCCGTACCCGCGTGGCCATTCGCGCGCGATATGCAGGGGTCGTGTGGGAAGCTGCCGGACAGGCCCACATCCTTTCCAGCTCCCCAGCCTATAGGAGAGCACCATGTTGGCATCGGTGGGGGCCCAACACTGACCGCACGTCGGCCTTGCTCAGACTTAGAAAACGCCTGGTAGTAATAGCCTTGCGCGGATTACGTGTCACGGCTACCAGACTCCAACGCCAGAGACTCTCTCCCAGGTTCCAGACTACAGCATCTGGCCACTCGAGCATTAGCCCTTGAAACGGTAGGATTCTGTGTCCTCGAGTCAAGAGAACGAACTCAGCGCCTCTTACCTTGCTAGGTACCTAGGTGGTTATCAGTTGTGCCACTGAACGCGATGTTCGACCGACAACCGCGACCGTGACCGTGACAACTATCCACCAAAGACAACGAAGGTGTCAGCGCCATGGGCCACACACCGTCAAGTCCGTCCACATCAATAATTACCGCGTCCTCCGTAAGCGTCGACTGTGTGTCTCACCAACAAGCAGCCTGTCGGTGCGGTCTCTAGGCCCTGAATGAGTACTCCGTGGATGATGTGTCTTGAACAATTCGCTCCAACGGAGACGGATCGTGTTGTGTGCTTGAAGTGAGCAGCTGGTGCCGTCCTGTGTGGCAACCCCATTGTCCTGCGTGTGTGCTCCGTACTCCGTACCTAGCCAAAGCTCAGTATGTATGTCGTATCACCCGCCCAGATCGCCAGATAGGCAGGTGCTTTCTTGTACTGCAGTCTCGCCTAATTATCCTGGTCGTGCTAGTACGTACTAATCTTTTCCACCGAGCTGAGCCCATCTCTGCAGACCAAATGCGCCATCAACATTCGTGTGGGCGGAGTACTCGGTACAGTGCATTGAGTAATATTTTGCGATGCAAGCCTTTTCGATTGGCTTATGGCGCTGGAATTTGAGGCTTTTCTGTACCGTCAGGTCACGTGGTGGCTGGCTTGCATCCTTGGCCACGAACGATTGATAAAACATGTTTGCCCAAGAGGCCAGGAATGTTCAAGACAAGGTTTTTCCCGACTACGGAGCGCTCACGCTAAACAACAACATGGCACCCAAATCTTGAGTGTGTCGCCGAGGAATGCATGTGCTCAGGATGGCACTCAAGGACCAGTCAATTCGCTCGCAATCCATCAGCAGTACCAGTAACTCCGCAGGTGATCATCTCACCTCTGCAGGTAACTGAGCCAGTCAAGGGGCTTGTTTCGACCTGCACCCGGCGACTTTGAATTCTGGGTCTGGCTGTTGCATTTGGCACACTCGTCCCAACTCCCACAACCTTGCAGCCAACCCGGTCCAGGGAAACAAATAAAAAAGATGGGAAAAAAGTCTGACCCGTACAGACGTGCGCAGAGGCAGGGTTGCCGCATAAAGTGAGCCGTGCGTTGTGAAAACATTGGGTGGGAGAAGACGAATGTCACTCACCTGCCTTAGCAAAGGACCGGACCTGTCGACTTTATTTTTTTACAGATCATTGATGTGTCGACCCCGAATAACCTTCAAGCAACCGCTAATAGGCTTGCGCATCAACAAAAGTGAACCAGAGCAACCATGATTCTCTCACTCCCAGCAAACTGACAGGCACTCTGTCTTCGATGGTCAATCCGCTGCGTGACGGGGTTCAATGACGCCCAGTAACCTTGCCGTGGCTAATCTTGGGATTACCGTAGCAGAGTGTTGGTTCTTTGTCAGTCAGTCTGGCGAGATGCCCCATCACCACAAGCTTTTCTAACTGCCTAGGTACGGAGCAGTACTCCGTAAAGTAGTTATCCTTGCAATACTCCGTGCGTTCTCAGGTAGGCTTTCTTTGACCCGCACCCAGGTCCTTACTGCCGGGACTGCTGGGCTGTTCAGCCCTTTCGAGAGTTGCGGGGCTTCTTCCTTGGTGCGACACATGCCTGTCCTGCCAAAGACCTTGACGATACGGAGTCCTACGGAGTACGGAGTAGTAGTGGTATTAGATCGCTCAGAATGGGCCCGTACCGACCAATTTAGCTCGCGAACACATGCTGTAAGAAACAGGTTCTGTTCCCCGCCCGAAATGGAGTTCATCTCCTTGTTCCTGAAGCTAGGTAAACCTGGGCGCCACGATGGAGCACTTGGCCAGGGACTCGGGATCCGCGATTGGCTGATTCTCACCATGGCTGCCACACTGCGGCAAGGATCTGGTTAAGACACATTCGAACTGCTGTGTTTGTTGCGAGTGACAAGACAGTCAAGGCAAGGAAGAAACTTGATTCAAGATGAGTCTATGCTCGTATTCCGCGCCCTTGGAGCTGTTTGTTCTAGCTGCGGGACATGAACGGCCAATCTGGTTGCGATTGAGGCTGCACGGCATTCTGAAGAAAAGAAGCTCTCTGTGCACGGCGACACTACCTACCTACCTAGGTAGGTAAGTACCTACCTACTTTACTAAGTACATACTAGCAGTACCTGATAGTAGCGCAACGAAACATCCAGTGTCCCTCCACCTGTCCAATGCGTCAGACGGAAATAGCGCTCTACCAGTGTACGGAGTACTGCTAGTATCGAGCATTGATGGTCTGGTTCAATGTTACCAGGGAAGGGATTGGTGCTCAGTGCTCTGTCTCAGCCGAAGTAACCAGCAGACCTCGAAGAGAGATCTCTGGACCTCTACGGAGTACTCCGTACTTAAGTAGATAGATGAGTGACAGATGCAGGTGTCATTCTCTTTCCATTTTGCATCGATACCAGTATTTCGTTGGCTCTCATGTCTTATCTGCACGGGCAGCTGGCAATAAATCACGCAGAAGCACTTGGTAACCACTCAAACAGTCTATTGGCCTAAATGTCGCATAGGGCAACAAAGAAAGCCCTCTGTAGATCGCGACAGGCCACGGAGTACAACGAACACACCCCGGATAACCTATGCATTCCTCCGCACAACAAACAATCACAACCGGAGTGGGCTGTGGCACAAAGAAAGACCTTCCGCTAATATCCCCTCGTGGTTGGGCGATGCTAGGGAAGCCTCCAAGATGGGCTTCCTTATGCGGCAGTGGAAGAGCACGCAAACAACAACGGACTGTTATTCATGACGGCGTCGCAATTGCATGTCTCACTCTTGTATCTTGCAATAATTACCGCTCAGGCCATCACCGTTTTCGTCTACTGGTGTTTTGCGGTGTGAGAGACTGGTCAATATTGTAATTTCCGCCACCATTGGCTCCGGTGGACTAGATGCGATTGCTGACAGCGTCAGCCATCAATCCATCTTGAAATCAAGCGACACCCGCCGCACCGTTGGCGCGCGATGAACAAGACTCGGTGAATGGAATCCAGTCTTGGGGTTTCTCTAGTGCCAAAGGCCAGCAACCTCTTTTCGTGTGCTGCCAAGAATATCACCTCCGCCTCGACCTCTGCGCCTCGACGTCTGACAGTACGCTTTGGCTCGTCTCGGAGCCTTCTCTTTGTGGGTGACTTTAATTAACTGCTGCCCCTTTTGATGAGCCTGCTCCGTTGATGCGCTCGACGCAAATGTGGCTCCGCTGCTTCAGGTCCGAGTCCACGACACACCACTCGTCACCCATGTCCATCAGCCACACCGTTATGGCAGCTGCTGTTTGTTTGACTCTTTTCCTGTCCCGGACCAGTCAGATCGAACGAGGGCGGAGGAATGTGGTATTTCGGGAATACAGAGAGTGGTCCTGATCTCTTGGCTTGCATCTGGTTGTCAGACGAAAAAAATCTACGATCTTGGATGGTTTTCGATTGGGAAGTTTGCGAGACAAGCTGCTTGCCCGGATTATATGGGCTTACGAGTCCCCCAACCGAGTACGCAGTACGGAGTACCGGATTGGGAGTTTGGAACAGCTCCCATTCCCTATCGGTAAGGAAGGTGAATACTGTTTCCAAGATCTTCGTGCATCAGGCACATTCCTGGCACACAGTACTGCCAGATAGAGCCACCAATAAGATAGGAAACCAAGAGTACGTAACGGCCTTCTTTGTCTCACATCGAGAAGCTCTGCTCTAAACAAGACCAAACCGCAACCTTTGAGCCCTCCGTCCCCCAAAATAACATCGTCCCTGCTCCTCAATAATGATTCTGAAGGAAGACAGTACAACAACCACTACAATGATGATAGACGAAGAGCTCTTAGGGTTTCCTCTAATTTTGCGTCATAGTTCAACATGCGGTCGCGATTCCCAGACGATGGTTTATAGAGGGGAGAAGAAAATGTAGTTTGTAAATTCAATGATGCAATGGTGTTTGTTCTGGTTTCGCCCATTTGGTAGACTGTGCATCATTACCCCGTTCTTCGTCTGGTCTTTTATCCCTGCCGCTTCAGCCAACGCTGGTACCGGAACTGTCCACCCAGGGGAGGTTGTATCAGGTTTGTCAGCGGTAGTGTCGTCTCAACCTCGCATTGCGTCCTGGAGGACTTCTCGTGAACCTCCTGGGAAAGGCTACCCTGGCTATAATAGCAACAGCGCCATTGGAGCGTTGGGATTGGAGGATTCGACCGACCTAGATATCAAGGTGTTGCTAGTAACTTGCTATGCAATGTAAAGTTGGGCAACGGGCGAGGGAGATGGAGATGGAGAGGCAATCAAGCACAATATTGGCTCTAGGGTAGTCCGGTCTTTGGAATTTGAAAATGACACAAGCAACGTGACCTCATCCAACACTAGGCCAATATGAACCCATTTTCCCCTGGGCTCGGACATCTGGATACGCATTGATATTTCAGGCGCGATTTCCGATGGACATTGAATGTTTAGTATTTCATTCTGCTTTGGCCTTCTGCAGATGAACAGGCCATCGTTGCAGACACGCCATGGCTCCCACGACAGATTGCAGGCATCCTTAATTATTCTAAACCACTGTAAGTTTATGAGGAAGAAGGAATACCCGTCGGCGACTAATTGGATGAGCCACTTTACCAAGTGCCAACAGGTATTAATATCCTCCTGTGCAAACGAATGGATGGTTGAGATGTCCGAGTAGAATCCTTGAGTGAATCCACACGGTTAAGCTGAAATATACTGAGTGTAGGGTAGGGGTTGCGAATTTATGTACTCGAAACGTGTCACAAATCGATAACCTTCCCATTTCATGTACACAACGGCAACAGCTGGTTTAACTGGACCACAAATTGGAGGATGAGAGAAAAGAGTCATGCAATTGCAAGTGCTGCACTTCCTGCACCAGACTTTATACGGGGCTGTGGTAAGCAGTTTTCAATCTTACGGCCGCGTGACTGTGGCATGATTTCAATGTTATGCGTCGAGGTTCGCCCCAGTATTAATTAATTGGCTACAGCCCAATGGCCGGTGGTAGCACCAGACGCATTGAAGTTCAGGTCGGAGGCGGTAAAACTCAACGGCTGCGACCGGTTGAGCGTTCCATGTCAGTAGGAGAACCCCTAGACGGGTCCATGTCTGGTGTCAACTGGCACTGGGTGCTTAAACGCTGGCGCCACGCTGTCAACTGGCACCCCGGCATTTGGCGCTCACATGCACTTGACTCAAGTGCTCATCCTTCTCTCACGCCTGCACCTGCCATATTCGACATCCCCAGATTGCAGAAGCACAACACTGAAGCTGGTGCTCAGCAAACCCTCCTGCCAACCATGGCGCGTAGACAACATCTCACCCTCACGGTCCTGCTAGCCATCGTCGTCTTGCTCAGCATAACTTACATCTTCTCCGGCAGCTCGGCACTCAGCCCTGCACGGCTGCTAAAGTCCGGCCGCAACAGCGAAATTCCTCTCACGGCCGATGGTAAAAAGCCAGATCCCGCCTCGAAGCCCGGCTTCGAAATCGACCTAGAAGCCATTCCGGATCTCTCGGAAGGAGATTCCATAGCGCCCAAATTGGAAAATGCTACACTAAAGTCCGTCTCCCCGTCACACACTGCGCCCTTTGTTCTTGTTTGCCAAACCTAACAGCCCGTCCAGAGCGGAACTCGGCCGCGCAACTTGGAAGTTCCTCCACACCATGGTTGCCCGGTTCCCGGATAAGCCTACAGACAGCGACCGCAAAACCCTCGAGTCCTTCTTCCTTCTCTTCGGTCGACTGTACCCTTGCGGCGACTGCGCTCGTCACTTTCGCGGGATGCTGGACAAGTACCCACCGCAGACGAGCAGTCGCAACGCAGCCGCAGGTTGGTTGTGTGCGCTGCATAACATGGTAAACAAGAGGCTCGAGAAGCCAACGTTCGATTGTACCAAAATTGGAGACTTTTACGACTGCGGCTGCGGCGACGATAAGAAAGAGGCAGATAAGAAAGAGACAGACAAGGGCGAGGAGGAGGACAAGAAGCAGAAAGTGACCAGGGACGAAGGTGGTGATGCCACTATTCCGGGGCTGGGCGGATTGGATAAGCAGTGGAGCAAGGCTATTGAGGGATTATAGAATTCGGAGCATGGGTTGATTGGGATTTTGTTCTCTGGCGCTGCTGTCTTTTGGAATACTATAGCGAAATAGCGATTGTTTTCATGGTTAGTTCTTCGGTCTGCTCCGCATGTGATACGACGGCCAAGGTTTGACAGGAACAGACCTTGCAGCGAAGAATATAGAATGCATTCTCAACGTATTGTTTATTAGTACTCAAGTTCACGCATGTGCTGGCTCTGTTGTTGTGACTCTGCGAGGATAACCAAAACATGGACCATTTGACCATTCATTGCGGTCACGTGATATGTCATGTGCGCCAAAGTCACTGGCTGTCACGGCTGCGCGTTCCCAGAGCTGCCTGAGCTACGTCTTAGCTCCAGCCCTGCTGTGATCAATCATTGACGACGCAACGCCGAGACCTCTTCTCTTCAATCCCTCATCAGAGCCATTACGAACCGGAAAGAACATCAAGCTTACATTGAAAGAATTGCGAATCATGGAGTTTGGCCACAAGGGTGTATTGAACGAAGGTGAGCCGTCCAAACGGAGCTGCACAGCGAAGCAACCTTGCCAACGAACAACACCATGATGCTGATGCGATGGGATAGATGGCATCCACGTCGACATGGACCGTCTCAAGAAGGGAGAAGTGAAGTGAGTGTCTCTTGCTAAATGGTTCAACTTTATTCCAGAGTCTTATCTAATGCCACTTCAGCTTGGGAACCTCAATGTACGAATACGCATCCTCGGATTCCTATGGTCGAGCGATCTAACATGGCGTAGCATGGCTGTCACATTTAAAGATGGTGTTATCCTGGGTATGTCCAAATGATTCCTCAATCTATTGGCAAACGCATTGACTGACTCTTGCAGGCGCCGATTCTCGAACCACGACGGGAGCGTACATTGCAAACCGAGTCACTGATAAACTGACCAGAGTACACGATACCATCTGGTGTTGCCGATCTGGCTCAGCGGCCGACACGCAGGCTGTCGCCGATATTGTTCAGTACCAGCTGGGTTTGTTTGCCATGCACAGCGGCAAGCCTCCCATGACACAAACTGCCGCGTCAATCTTCCAGGAGATTTGCTACGCAAACAAGGACCGTTTATCGTAGGTCATCACGAGGACACCTGACTATTGGGATTCTTGGAACTTATTGACCATTTTCTGAACAGGGCTGGTCTGATCATCGCCGGTTGGGACGAGCGATTCGGTGGCCAGGTGTACTCAATTCCTTTGGGCGGTTCACTGCACAAGCAGGCGTATGCGATCGGTGGTTCCGGTTCCACATACATCTATGGCTACTGCGATGCAAACTGGAAAGAAGGCATGGAGAAGGAGGAGGCTGTTAATTTCGTCAAGGGAGCTCTGAGGGAGGCGATCAAATGGGATGGAAGCTCAGGCGGTGTCATTCGCATGGTGGTTTTGACTAAGGAGGGTGCTGACCGACACTTGTATTTGCCTGATACTGACTACAAGGTTCGACACGAGTAGGGGGGAGAGAGGGAGAAATGAAAGAAGGGGGGGGAGAGACTGACATCCGGTAGATGAATCCCGGAGGGTAGGGATTTGGAACTTGGAAGCAAGCTCAGATGATGGTGATTTGAGCCTATCATAGACAGATTTGGCGCTTCTGTATAATAAGTAGAATAACGAACACGGGATCAAATGCGAATTCTTGTGCACGGCATCAAAAACACGCGAGCCCATGCACGGGAGGGAAGGCTTGTGACTTGGAGGTACGGGAACGGGCCGTGGGTCGGCAGGGACGGGGAATACAACATGCCAGCTTGGACAAGATAAACAAGACCGAGGACTGAGATGCCGAGAAGCGGTGAAGATGGGAAGAGTGAGGTGGTTGATCGTGCCAGAAGGGGTAAGGATATTCGAGATACGAGGTGGAAACGATGTGGAAACGTACTTAGGCATGTATGTATGTTGAGGCAACGGGGTTTCGATTTTTAGAAAAATCAAATCAAATACAACCTAAAAAACTGTTAAACACTCACGGGACTTATCGTGGGGAAAGGGTCATCTCTACACGTGAGCAATGAGAGTCATTGATGTGCAGGCGAACGTATACACGGACAGGCGGTGAGCCACCGAGCATACATAGACAATAAAGATAGCATAGGACACACGGATGGGGGCGAAAAAAATTCTCCAAACTGACAGAAATGCCGTCAAATTATTATCAACCCTTTGGCCCCCGTGGAAAGGAAATGGGTTAGTGGTAGCAGTGTTCGGGATGAGGTGCAAGAGGGTTGGACAGGGGCGTGCTGGCTGCGACCACGGGGCTGGATTGCATCTGTGCTGCACATGCTACACTAATATATGTAAAACACACCGGCACATTCATCCAGGGCAAGGTGGGTTAAAGAGGACCGAGTGCACGGGTTGAAGGAGATGGTTGAGATTGCCACTTTTTCTGGTCCGGGGAATATGCATGGGGGCTATCAACTAGCACAATAACTACATACGTGCCATTGAAGGAAGGCAACGTGGAAAATTGGTAGTACATCCTTGACCGACACAACTTGGTTCTCCCGGCTGGCAAAGGCGCCTCATTGATTTCATACTTGGGTAAATTAATTTGAGCTGAACTGCATGGCGGGTAGCTCAGCAGGGCTGAAGATGGACGGCGTCATGGCTACGGAGCCAGCTCCCAAGGACAAAGGAAAACGGGGTATTTGGAGAGGAGAAAGTGGAGGGAAGGAGGAGTCTGGCGCAAATCTTGACGGCAGCGGAGGCGGGCAAGCTGGATGACAGCTGTTGGGGAAAAAAAAAAAAAAAGACTGGCCGACATGCTACAACGATGACGTGTTTCAATATATACGGAACCGGCTGGAATGGAAGCCCTTGTGCCCCGTACCACAGGAGCATTTATTGCGTTTCTCGAACAATCTGAAACAAAAGGGACGAGGAGAAACTGGGCGCATGACTGCAGCAGCAGCTCATCAGAGGAACATTGAAGCTTGACATGCGAACTGCGTCGAGCGTTCCTTGCCTCGGCGCGCCACGGGCGACGGGTAGGCCACCCCACGTGCGGCAAGCCTTGGCTGCGATTGTACTACTTGCCCCCGTGGTGCGGCGCCCACCCAAACACCTTGTACCTGCTCCTCGTCCCTTCCCTTCCCGGAAACGCCGTGGACGAATCAATGCCCGCCCGATGCGCACCCCGTCCACGACTCGTCTGGCAGATTTGGCCGTCTTGTTGTAACTCACGGCCCTCTGTTCCCGCCGTCCTCTGCCCGCTATCTTATTTTCCCTCGCTCTTTGCCATTCTTCGTCTCTCCTATTCAAGATAGTGTCCGTCGTGACTTTGTTGTGGGCGTCCCGAGGTCTGAATTTGCGCTGCACAACTACGCCGCCAGGGGGTGAACAAGACTCCCGTTTCCGTCCTCGCTCGCCAACAAGCCTAAAATAAAAACCTTATCACCACCTGCCGAGTACCTGCATCTGTCTTGCACCGCGGCCCTCCTACGTTTTACATACCTTTCACCTGTATTTCTTCTTCTCCTCCTCTTTAACACCCTTTATTCTTTATTTTATTTCGACACAGGCATGGGGTCGTGCCCCCTCAAGTCTGCTCGATAAAGAACATCAAATACTTTGTATCATAGCGGCACGTGGTTGGCTCGCTCCTTCCCTACTGTGGCAACGACTCGCGAGTGGCCTTTTCGCCACTCAACTGCGTCACTCCGGGGGCCGTTTCGTGGAGCACATCATCTCCCTCCTCTTACGACGACACTTGGGCTTGTTTGTTTCGTTATACCAACGCACCCGGCTAAAATAGACACTTGTTTTATCTGATTCACCAAGCGACGATTTGATTTCCCTCCCTGCCTTCATCAACGCCGAGGTTGGCGAGCATTGGGTGTCTTTTATGACTTTGGGTCGACGGCAGACGCCATCCGGCCTTTTTTCGTGTTTTTAACTCGTCGCGAGAAATTCAGTTGACCTCGAATATACCCCGTCGCACGATTCTGCGACTTGCGATTTTGCTACGGACGCAACCTGTTGTTGCAGAGGTGAGTTTTATATTTGGTATTTGAGTTTGTTGATTTTCTAGTAGTTGGTTGACTCTGTTTTTGATGCATTCATTGATGGAACACCTCTCGCTCGCTCATCGGCTTTGTGTTGGTAGCTGCAAAGTTGCGGCTATGAACCACCAGGAAAGTCGGGTTCAAATTGCACCAGACTCTACATACTTGTTTTGCGGGCACGCCATTTCTCAGCTGGAGAGGCGCCCCTTTTATACCTTGTTCTCGTCTTGGACGCTGCAGGTATGACGTCGCTGCGAGATGCGGCATGCGATGAGCGGCCTCATGGGGTTGAGTGCTCCGTGCAAGGCCGACCAACCAGCCCGTCTTGCGCTGGGCCGACGTGCAACGGAAACGAAGCCATGGGGCTGCAATACGACGGGCTTGTGCGACAATCGCACGCCAGACTCAGCTCGCTGCCATGCCGATGCACGGCCGGTCGATGCGACTTTATACGCGGGTGTTGGAGGGGCTGGCTGATCAAGTGGTCAAGCGCCGATACACAATCAAGTTGCGAGTCGTGGGCGTCCAGTGTCGTCGGCATTGTATGTTGTGTTCATCGGGTCGAGCGAGTCCCGGAGTTGGGGTTTAATTAACCCTTGTCCATCCCTGGGCCGGTCCCTCGTCGCCAACGCCCGCGTCATTCGCCACGGCCACGACAAGACGACGGACGACCTGACGTGCTCCAGCGGCAGCTCCAACGAGCCCAATCCACTCGTTGGCGGCGCTCATCCACCTGGGCCTGGAACAGAGCAGCCAAGCAACGTGCGGCCTGTCGTCTCGTCTGGTGCCAGATGGAATTTCTCCTCTTGTTTTGGCGTCATCCTATTACGACCCTGATCCATCTCGTCGTCCGTCTTCGTCTTCGCCACGGCCTTTTGCCCATGCCTTCGCTCGCTGCACCTGACGACTGTTTATGACTTTTCTTTTGCCCTTGCGTATTTTGTTGCCCTTGGTCGGTTCATTCATCA